GAGGGTAAATCTCTAGCTGGACTAAAAAAAAGTCACATCCATATTTGAGGATCAGTCTTGTGATGGCATTATTCGGTATTGAGTCTTTAAGTATAAGTCCTGTAGACTCGCCTATAAAGTACAGAGCCACAAAGACACTAAGCTGAACGTTGATTCTTTCGTTTCTGTAGCAAGTGGACTTTTATGTGATGAAGTTCCTAACCTCCCTCTCAAACGTCTTTGAATTCAGTGCTATTATTCGAATAAACTGGTTGCCAATCATAGAGATATCCAGTGTCTTTTTGTTTTTCGTCTACAATCTTGCAATTATTTTCCTGTTGTCATCTTTTTACACAAGTTCGTGAGGTCGTTTACTCGCTATTTCCCATTTCTTTTACCTTCAATATGTCTTGTGAGTGTTAAACTTTCCAAGCTCTTTTTCCTCATCATGTATATCAGAAATTCAAATTGTGTGTTGCTTATTTTAAGTACTTTTGTCCTTTTTGTTTCCATTTTCATTTAAAGTTTCTCGTTGCCCACATGTTGACTTGATGCTATTCGCATTTTCTTTCAATGAAGAATATCACTGTCGTCCTAAATTTCCTTTTCATCTCTCAGGAAATTTTCTACCATCCACTGTTATATATTCGATTGATATTACATAGCATTTCAACACTGTTTGTCTCTAACGTGTAGAATATTGATTAGCTTGCCAGTGGTCTGACACACAAGTAGGCAAATGTAGCCAAAGCTAAAAACTGATTTGAGTCATTTCATGGAGAAATATATGGGTGAATAAAGACCACTCATGCAAATGTATTGAGCAGGTCCATTCTAGCAAAATGGACCAAGCTAACTGGTGTATTAGGCACTCTCCTATAAAATGAGGTAAAATCAACTGGCTCCCTTTTCAAGGAAACAGAAGAAGGCAGCCATGTTGGCAGGTAAGTCACTTGACTTCTACATCACGCTCCTCTCCCCATTGCGGAAGCATATTGGCCGTTGGGGAGGAATTAGTTCCCTATTGCCTGGCCGATTGTACGCGAGTAGTCGGGATAGCGCCCTGGGAATCCTGGTTCTTGATGGTGGTGACTGAGTAGGTCCCTGGGATGCTAGATCATTTCGCAATGTAATGTCACCATTTCCCGACTCTTTGGCAGATTGATGTGGTCTACACATATCTGTAATCGTCGGCTCAGGTGACACAGGCATGGCGCTTGGGATGGGGGTCTTGATTATGGGCGCTTCAAGTTTCCTTAGGAACCTACGGTTCCGCAGGGTTATTCTGCCTGATCCTGCAACTCTAATTCTATATTGATGGTTGGGAAGTGTCTCTACTATTCGCCCAGCTATGTCCCATCGATTATCAATATCTAAATTCGCAATATAAGCGAGAAACCCACCACATTGCCTCACCTTTCCAGCTGGCAATGCAGGTGCCACCCAATACCAAGAAAACAGTGCTGGATGCTGTCGATGGCTACCACTCTATTCTATTAGATTCGAAATCCAATGGGACATTCCCTCACAAGTTCAAATCCTGTTCGCAGCGCCATATGGAATATTGGTTAGCTTGCCAGTGGTCTAACACGGCAAGTGTAGCCAAAGCTAAAAACTGACTTGAGTCATTTCATGGAGAAATATATGGGTGAATAAAGACCACTCATGCAAATGTATTGGGCAGGTCCATTCTAACAAAATGGACCAAGCTAACTGGTGTATTAAGCACTCTCCTATGAAATGAGGTAAAATCAGCTGGCTTGCTTTACAAGAAAACAGAAGAAGGCAGCCATGTTGGCAGATAAGTCACTTGACTTCTACATAAGGATATTTCGTTATTTCAATGCGCTTTCAGATTTCTATGTGACATTTTCCGTCTCCTGTTAAAACATTTACCCAGATATATTTTATATACTAACCTGATTCTGACATCTCCAATTCGGAGCTCACAGTTGGTCTCTCTATCTAATAATCATACATTCTGTCTTCTTACAACTGACAGTCCTTTCTTCCTGCTTTCTTTTATTGCCTTGTTTTGAAGTTCTTGCTATTTATTTTTGTGTCTGCCATAGAACGGTTTAGAACTGAAAACCTTTGTCTCCAGGATCAAGCAAAAATTTGCATAGATTCAAGATGATCCCTGTTCCTGTCATGCCACGCCTGATTTTATATTCATTTTTGAGCCAGCTTGTTACATTCATTTATAAAATCTTGCCTTCTTCCCCCAAACGACATTTATTGATGTTCGTGTGGCTGTTATGCTTGTTATTGTCATCGTGTTCAGAGAGAGTGCTAATAATTGCCGTTATTATCATAACGAAGTCATTACTTGGGAATCACGAATCAGACAAATCTCGCCAACAACGGATCAACCATTCTTCCAGACGCATTCAAAACAATGTCCCGAACCCATCTTGATCCCACCCGCCATTTTACCGAGACGCCCAAGATGACAGATAAATGTGTAATAGGAATTTAAAATTAATAGTCGAATCAAAATTCGTATTGAGCTGATTTTAAAATGGATTGCTGTTGTGCCACTAATGCTCCTTAGTCAATTTTATTGACGCTCTCTGTTGACAAAGGTTGGCTAATAGCTTACTACTTGAGACGCCAACAAAGAAGGTGTCTGTTTAAATCCTCAATAAATGCCACCAGTTCTCGGATTAAGTATGGTCATTATTCAACGAATTATTCGTAGGAGTATCGTCATCTTGGACACAAATTTGTACACACACACACATATACATACATACATACATACATATATATATATATATATATATATATATATATATATATATATATATATATAATATATAAGCATAAGTGCGCAGGTATGCAGAAAATAGAAAAGAACACGTTGGGTGCATAATCCGGAGTTCCTTAGTATTTTTGTTTTTATTTTGAAGACAGTGCTCCATACAGAAGTAGAGCTTATTATTATTTGAATGGTTTCGGCTCTGGTTTTTGAAACAGGAGAACTCTTATGTATCGAAGGAATCATATTTTTAAACAAAAAAATATTATAATATATATATATATATAGTGTCATTCGCAGGCAGACTGTATCACAGCTCATCAGTGTGGCTAGACATCCGATTGCCTCAAGCCAGGATCGAAACCCAACTGATTTAGCATCAGTCGGAGATTTTTCCCTTAAGCTATCGGCTCCCGGCAGAAAGAGAATGTGAATTTTTATGTATTTATTTTCGAATAAGCACACCATTGACTCAGATAAATATATAGGTAGATAGAGACAACATCGTGTAAAGTGAGTGCTCCTAGTAATAATAACAGAACTAAAATTTATAAGAAAAAAAATTATGTATCTGTTCTTCACCGCCTGATGCTATTTAGTTTCATGAAGAAATTAAAGAAATTAAAATTAAATTGTGCATGGCGATTGATATGTGCATACAACTTTATGTAATGTCGTCATGCTTTGAGGAACAAATATATAATTCTTCTTAAGATATATAGATAGATCTGTAGCGCGTTTCATCATGCAAAAAAGACTTCTTTAGATTCGATAATATTTACATTAATGGAATTAATATATATATATATATATATATATATATATATATATATATATATATATATATATATTTATATATATATACAGAGAGAGAGAGAGAGAGAGAGAGAGAGTTCGATGGATAAATTGTCGTTTAAATTCCACAAAATGAAAAACACAGACATCTCATTTTAATAGATATATTTACCAGATTTGCCCCAAAATATCTTGAAATACTAAAGAATAAATATATTCAATAAAATTGACATTGTTTTCAATGACGGTATCCAGACGATTTGGGAATCTCCTGCATCTCTTCTGGGCGGTCCCCTTGTTTAAATTGGTGAATGCTGCCATAATCCTTGGCTTCATCTGAATGTTATAGGCCAGTTTTAACTAGTGGTGGGATTCAAAAAATTTAAGAACAGATTCTCTTGACAACAGGTCTCAATAGCAACGGGTCCCCCCCATTTTTCCATAATTTATGCTTCACTATATAAATATAATTTAGGAATAAAGCAATTTTTTCTTGCACTTAGTCAAAATTACCAAACTTAATCTGCATTACTGTTATGCTGTGGCTAACGATTTTTTTTTCTTCCACCGAATGAGTTCGAATCGCTCGTCGCCACTGTTATGGTCCGGTTCCTTGTACCACGGTGATAGTCCAAGGTAGAACCAATAAAGAAGAACTCGAACACGGGTATGGAATAACACAAATATATTACAAACAGGAATATATACAGAGAAGGAGTAGTGTTAGTACGAACAATCAGGTTTAGTAGTACTTGTCTGAACGCGACTCTGTTTCGGACTGCCTCTGACTCAACTGACTGACTCGCTCTGTCTGACTGACAGACTCCTGACGGACCTCACTCCTGACTTCCTCTTGAGGCGCAGTATTTATTACGTATAGAATAGTCCATTATGTTATTATGGGTAAGGTCCCATAACAATTACATTGCACGTTATCATTTTGAAAAGAAAAATAATTAAAACAAATGCTTTAAAATCTTTCATTTATGATCTTTCATTTTAAAAATTTCAAATGGCGACTTGATTGTCATCACAGTCTTCAGCTTTTTTGCCTGACTCTGTTGTCATCAATACTGTGATTTTTCAAAGCCATGTTTTAAAGAAATGAGTGGCATTCCATAAATCTAAAGGGAGACCAATAAGATTGATTGTCATCAAGCTTGCTGCATTTTCCATTGCAAGGTGGCATCTGAGTATATAATATTCATTCTTGAAAACCCTCATTCTGCATCCGAAGAACTAATAGCAATCATATGGATAATTGTTTTCGCTTTTTGTACATTTGAGGAATTACAGAATTATGAAAGTTTTTCAGGACATTTTCCACACAGTCACGAAAATTATTAATGGGAATGTTTTCATGAAAAATTTTACTGAAGTCATTCAGCATTTCTTTTGAAGCTTTCCAAGGAATAACCATTTCTTGAATATTCCAACTATCTGGCTCTTGCAAGTTCAGCAGTTCATGAAATTCATATTAACCTTTCTACAATCACCTGAATTTACATCCACAACCGATTATGTGACTACAATTTATAGACATCTATTTAAAATTAGCAATTTGTTTGTTCGGGTTGCAGCAAGCAACGGGTTTGCTGAGCTCATAAAATTCCCAAAACAGGTTCGTGTGAACATGTGCAAACCTGCTGAATCTCACCATTGGTTTTAACGCACTGCATCACCAAAAGGCTTGGTCAGAGCGGAGACCAGCTGTCAAGTTCTCGTCATCCATATTTTTAAAAATTCTCCTATAAGCTGTTGTAACATCTGCATAGATATTCACTAAATATCTAAGTATGTTCTTGATTTGGTATGATTTGACTTGCTTGTTTAGCGCCACATCAACACCTTATGAGTCATTTAACGCCGAAATTTAATTTTCTTGGGAACATTGAAGTAATGATATATGTTATTCTGCTTTCACAATTGAATACATGGTAGATGATGCTCAGCTTTTGTGTATATACATGTTTATGTGAACATAATAACTAGAGGTGGTGAAATGTGTGTTTTATGTTGTAGTTTTGTTGAAGTTATAAATTTTGGAATATAGTTTGATTTCTTTAATAAATTGTAGGATATTATATAGATTAATGTCATGAAAGAATTCATTCGTGTTGGTTGTGTAATTATATTTAGCAGCATATCAACCTCTATGGGTTATTAATGTCGAAATCTAAATATTTTGAACGAAGCTGCATACCTTAAGCTACAGACAAAATGTATTCTTGCTCATTTTGCATTAAATATATATTGTTGGTCATTTTACTATAGATATATATTGTTGATCAGTTTTATATAAGAATGTATTGCTGGTACTTTTCCTATAGAAATGTGTTTTTGTACTTTCAGGTTGTTTTGTTTTTGTTAGGGAATTCTCTATTTGCTAATAGCTGTGACCCTAACAGGAGCTACCACCGCTGGTTAGAATGAACCAAGGAACAACAGCAATTAAGAGTTGGTTCCACGTTCCTTGTTGTGACCAAGTAAAGGGTTAAAGAAATAACAAAACAAGTGTTACAGATATATCATATACTAGCAGTAGAGCCCGGAGTTGCCCGGGGATGTAACAGTAAGAGATAGATGAAGTATCGACCATCATAAAGACTGAAAAATAAAAATTGACAAAGATTATTGTTTAAGGTTGACGAACACGCATGTCTTTTTTTTTTACGAATTGATCAAACCCAAACAAAAACATTCTTTTCAATCGTTATGAGTCTACCAATTGAATAGAATTTTATTATATACAATTGTCTTGTAAATGGAATTTTTCAAGCATTCTGGATGTAAAAATAAAGAAAAAAGTGTGCAAGACAATAAGAAACACTACATGCCAAAAAAAAGTGAAGTTTTGTTGAAATCGGTTGAAAAATGTAGGAAATCCGATCCCATATATAAACGAACACACACACATACACACAAACAACCACCCTGGGTTTTATAATAAGTATAACTCGATATGAGTTGTCCCCCTTTCATTCTCAAAACTGCGATGCTTGTTAATCGTGTTTTCAAATTGATTTCGTGCAAAAACAATTGTATTTTTCCAATTTTTGGCACTGTCAGAACCACCGCAAGGTAATTTTACGTAGTCCTGTGAAGTTTTGTTGAAATCGGTTGAAAAATGTAGGAAATCCGATCCAATATATAAACGTACAGACATGCACACACACACACGCACACACAATCTGCATTTTATAAGTAAGATTAAACAGTAAGCACAACAGAAGAGTATTACACGAATAGTGAGGGTGTGTCGGATGACTCAGCGTTCAATCTATTCGACTGTTATATTTACCAGCCTCCCCACAATGTAGCACAAGGCCGAGTTTAATGTGGAGCAATCCGAGCCCGTAGGCTCAACCATAAATTCTACATAGACCTCGTATAAAACGGGGTCGGGTAGCGGTTTTCAGAGACGAGACTCTGCCCTTCTATATAGCCTCGTCTGGGGATCCTCTCTGTCCGAAGTCTGAGAGTTTGACCAGCACAGTGCGAACAGATCTGTTTGTTATATTTAACAGTCTCCCTGCGAGGTAGGATGTGGCACAAGGCCGAGTTTAATGTGGGGCAATGCGAGCCCTTAGGCTCGGCCCAAAATTCCCCATAGACTCCGTATAAAACGAGGTCGGGTAGCTGTTTCCAGACACAAAACTCTGCCCTTTGATATTAGGCAGAGAGTTTCACCAGCGCAGCCGAACAGATCTGTTCGACTTTTAATATTTAGCAGCCCCCACCCCACGAGGATAGATGAGGCACAAGGCCGAGTTTAACGTGGGTCATCCGAGTCCGTGGGCTTGGCCAAACATATTCCCTTAGAACCCGTATAAACGGGTGCAGTGACTGTCTACCGACCCGGGCGAAAGCCGCGTCCGGGTTCCACTCTATTCGAGGCAGAGAGTACGGCAGTTGAACAATCTATGCGACTGTTCCCCCAAGACCTTCTCTCCTACTAATTTTATAGTAGGCAGAAGAGTCCAACATAGACTCTTGAGAGTGAGAACACCACACCATTCCTCAACATCTACAACACCCTATCAGAGACCTCACTTATCGTTATATCCAGGATTAATTATGTTCTTAAGTAGATTATTAATATAGTTTTTTTGGTGTCACATCGATTCTGATTCGTAAGTTCCCTTTTTCTTTAATTCCTTCCATAAGTTTTTCCAGAAGATCAGGTAAAGAAAAGTATGTCATTTGATTTCTTTTTTTTCTTTTGTTTTTAGCTAATTAGTCGTTCATACTTTCAAATTTTCTTGACTACAGGAACTGAATTTTTCTTTTCGTCTCATCTTCTACATCGTTTTCCCCAGCTTTCATTTTCATTCTTGCTATTTCTTTCATTCAAAAATACACGAACGAAATGTTTAATCATTCGCCCTGCTTTCACTTATTTATATATTTTAATCATTCCACCCCAAGCAAGGCAATAAAGCCCTTAAGTGTTGCTGAGTCTGAGCGAATTTGAGAAAAACGACCCCAAAAATATTTCTTGTGCTTTCCACCTCTTGCATCATTTTTTGCAATAATCTTAAAAGCATGAACTAGTTTTACAGGGTTTTCTGCCATATCACGTTGAAACACCGGTTTCCGTATGATCACTGAAGTTAAGCAACGCTGAGTCTGGTCATTATCTACATGAGCAACCGGTTGGGATTATCAGGTCCTATAAAATTGGATGTGTGGGTCGTGTAATGGATAATAGCTCGCAATTGTTAATCCGAGTTCTAATTCCAGTTGGGTGTGTTTTATTCCTGACTCCTACTCGTTTTATTCACTTGGGAAAAACATGAATCCACCTCTTCTCCCACCAGCGATGGATTAATTAGTAAGACTTGTATTACTAAAACACTGTTATCTAAAAATCTGTTCTTACAATCTAAAAATATTTTCTGGCTTTAAATAACCTGCAAAGGGTTGAAAACCCATCAATCAGCCAGTTTTACAGTAATGTCTTTTTCAGTTGCTTTTACCGTCTCACTATTTCTTTTTCTCCAAATATCAGGTCATCCCTTAAGTTCTGTCCGAATTTTAACTTTTTGTTAAAATGAACGAAATTTAAAGAGTATTTTATAATGTCTAATGGGGCTGAACATTATTTTCATGTTTAGATGCATTTAAACTGATCAAATTTTATTTCAGAGAACAATAAAATTAAATTTTGTTTGATTAAAACCCTGCTAACATGGAAGTACCCGAGAATCATTTGAGGCACATAATGCTTTATGAGTTCAAGAAAGGAAACTCAGCAGCCGAAGCGGCTAGAAACATTCACTCAGTTTATGGAGAGGAATGTATGAATGAAAGAAATTGCAGAAGATGGTTTGCAAAATTCAGACATGGAGATTTCACCCTTGAAGATGAAGATCGAACCGGACGTTCAGTTGAGTTTGATGAAAAGCTTCTTGAAGCAGCCCTTGAAGAAAATCCTGTTTTCTCAGTTGAGGAATTGGCAATGGTTCTCAGTTCAAACCATACAACTGTTCATCGTCATCTTCAACAACTTGGAAAAGTTCCTAAACTTGGAAAATGGGTACCTCATGAATTGTCTGAAAAGAAACTCAAATCCCGAGTTGGCATCTGCTCTTCTCTCCATTCTCGCCAACTTGTTTCACCTTTTTTGGATAGACTTGTGACTGGCGACGAAGAATGAATCTTTTATCGAAATGTTAAGCGTCGTAGACAATGGCTTGATAAAGGGGAAGGACCCCAGACAGAGCCGAAAAGGGAACTTCATGGGCAAAAGGTTCTTCTTTCAACCTGGTGGGATCGCCAAAGAATAATTCACTTTGAATTCTTACCACCTAATGCAAAAATTAATGCTCAAATATACTGTCAGCAATTAGAGCGTTTGAATCAAGCTTTGAGGAAAAAGGACCTGCTCTAGTGAATCGAAAAGAGGTGACGTTTCATCAGGACAATGCGCGACCCCACACAGCAAGAATCACGTCACAAAAGATCGAAGAACTTGGTTGGGAGAAAATTCCTCATCCACCTTATTCTCCTGATCTTGCTCCTTCAGACTACCATTTGTTTCGTAGCTTACAGAATCATTTGGAAGAAACAGCTTTTGTAACACAGGAA